GAGATGATCACGGCCCCGGAACGCCAACAGCTAGAGACCCTGAAACGTAATGTCAACAAGTAAGCATCATAAACTTCTGACCTGTGTTTTAAAATACCTTCCAGACAGATCTATCTCCGTATTCTACAACCCCTCCCAATTAACATGAGCAAACCTAAACTCACTGTCTTCTCCAGTTCAGTTAACAGAATTATTATCCACCTAAGCTACAAACTCTGAAGATCTCCTCAGCTTCTCCTCCCTCACCACACACTTTCTTTTATTCACCAGGTCCTATTGATTTTACTTCAGTAACATGTCTCAAATCTGGTCCTTCATCTTGGTCCTCATGAAGGCCTTCATCACCTCTTTCCTCAACCTTCACAATTCCCTAGACCTTGGTCCCCCATCTGAACATCTCTTACAATGCTCCCAGTTATTATCTTAAAAATTCTGTTACTTTAAATGCCTTACTCCTTGTATTTATCCTATAAAGACCAGAATACTTGACATGACATACAGGGCCTTTCACAATTTCACAGCAGCCTATCTCTCTATCCTCATTCCCTTTCACTCCTTACCCCACTCACTTTAATAGGGACTGCACTGAATCTGTAGAACAAGTTGGGGATTATTGCTGTCTTAACAATGTTAAATCTTCCAATCCATGAATATGGGATGTCTTTCCATTTATTTAAGTGTTCTTTGTTTCAGTAATGTTTTGTAGTTTTCAGTATACAAGTTTTTGTACTTTTGTTAAATTTATTCCTTCTTTTTGACTGTGTTGTAGTGTTTTCTTAATTTCATTTTGGGATTTCTATTGTATAGAAATGCACTTGATTTTTGTATATTGATCTTGTATCCTGCAACCTTGCTAAACTCATTTATTAGCTCTAATTGTGTGTGTGTATTCCTTAAGATATTTTATATACAAGATTATATCATCTGCAAATAGAGATAGTTTTACTTCTTTCTTTCCAGTCTGGATACCTTTTATTTCTTCTTCTTGCTTAATAGCCCTGGCTAGAACCTCCAGCATAATGTTGAAAAAGTGTGAGAGTAGACATCCTTCTCTAGTTCCTGATCTTAGGGGGAAAGCTTTCAGTCTTTCATTATTAAGTACAATGTTAGCTATGGGCTTTTCATCGATGGACTTTATCTGGTTGAGGAAGTTCTCTCTGTTGCTAATTACCACTCATTTGAAGCCTCAGCCTCTCCTGGCTCCTCACTACTTTAAAACATCTTAGGTCCTTTTATACCTATGCCTTTGCATATGCTGTTCTTTCTCCTGGCTGCAAGTTAGACTGTAAATTCCCCCAGGACAGAGGCTATATCTTTGCGTGTGTGTGTTTGTGTGTGTGCGCACGTGCACTTTAGGTGGAAATTTACAGCTCAAGTCAATTTCTCATACAAAAACGTATACGTATATTGTTATGTGACATTAGTTGCAATCCCCACTATGTGATAGCACCCTCCCCCTTTCCACCCCAGGTTTCTTATGTCCATTCAATCAGTTCCTGTTCCATCCTGCCTCCATCCTGCCACCCATTTGGTCTCGTGTATCTGCTTGAACTCAGCAGCGCACTCTTCATGAGTATTATTTTATGTTTTATAGTCCAGTCTAATCTTTGTCTGAAGAGTGGGCTTTGGGAATGGTTTTAGTTCTGGGTTAATGTGTCCATTCAGTCAGTTGCTGTCCCTTCCTGCCTTCTCATCCTGCCACCCATTTGGTCCCGTGTATCTGCTTGAACTAAGAAGCACACTCTTCATGAGTATTATTTTATGTTTTATAGTCCAGTCTAATCTTTGTCTGAAGAGTGGGCTTCGGGAATGGTTTTAGTTCTGGATTAACAGAGTGTCTGGGGGCCATGGCTTGGGGGTTCCTCCAGTCTCAGTCAGACCATTAAGTCTGGTCTTTTTACTAGAATTTGAGTTCTGCTCCACGCTTTTCTCCTGCTCCATCAGGGACTCTGTTGTGTTCACTGTCAGGGTGGTGACTGATGGTAGCCGGGCACCATCTAGTTTTTCTGGTCTCAGGCTGATGGAGTCTGGTTTATGTGGCCCTTTTGTCTCTTGGGCTCATATTTTCCTTGTGTCTTTGGTGTTTTTCATTCTCCTTTGCTCCAAGTGGGTTGGGACCACTGAAGCATCTTAGATGGCTGCTCGCAAGCTTTTAAGACCTCAGACACCACTCACCAAAGTGGGATGAAGAACATTTTCTTAATAAATTTTGTTATGCCAGTTGACCTAGATGTCCCCCGAAACATGGCCCCCAGATCCCAGCCCCAGCTACTCTGTCCCTCAAAGTGTTTGGTTGTGTTCAGGAAACTTCTTAGCTTTTCCTTTAGTCCAGTTGTGCTGACTTCCCCTGTATTGTGTGTTGTCCTTCCTGATTCTTGTCTACTATCTAGTTAGTGAATTCCCCTCTCTCCCTCCCTCCCTACCCTCGTAACCATCAAAAAATATTTTCTTCTGTGTTTAAACCTTTTCTTGAGTTCTTATAATAGTGCTCTCTTATAATATTTGTCCGTTTGCAACTGACTAGTTTCACTCAGGAGGCTATATCTTTTTAATCCTCAGCAATTCCCATCATGTCTGGCACATATGAGATGCTCAGTAAATGGGAGAATGACCTACTGATTCTCCTACTCCTACTTTCTACCTCTCTTAAGGGTAACCAAGCAATTCCCCATGTCTGCACCCACCCCAACCTCTAATCTTGCATATGCTAATGAAAGTTCAGTCCCTGGCAAACACTTTCACTTTTTTACTCAGGTTGGATGCCAGCGAGATCCAGGTAGATGAAACCATCTTCCTGCTGGAGTCATACATCGAGAGCACCATGAAAAGACCATGACCCAGGAGAAGAGTCTTCCTGAAAAGATCTGGGGAGGGGTGGGAGGAAGAGTAAAGAAGGTACCTGGCTGCATTCATTATAGTAGATAAATTGTAGATTCTTATACTGAAACTCCCTCTCTATTCCTACCACCCGGAATACACCAGAAAGAGTTTGACATATTTTTTAAAGTTTGCAGATCCTGTCTTAGATCCATCACTATGTTTTCCCCTCATCAAGTCTCCATAGTGGAAACAACCTTAAATCAACTAAATTAATCATGTGTCACATGCATCAGTTTCCACCAAGAAGTCAGCCAATACTGTGTTTGAACATCGCTGGCAATTAGAAAACTCTTCCTAGGCATTTCATTCCATTTTCAAAACTCAATGCCTGTTCTTTATTTTGTTGAGCTATAATCTTAAAACACATATACAGTATGTGGGCAATGTGGAAGACAACCACAGAGAGGAAAAAAAAAAAAAGCCATTTTCAGAGCTGTCAGATGGATTGACCCAAGCAATCACACTAAAATCTATGGCTAGAAGGCACATTTGCCAGCTCCAGGCTTCTAGCACATCTGAAGTTATGCATATAAAACACTTAGCACAATGCCTGGTGTCTTAGTCATCTAGTGCTGCTATAACAGAAATAGCACATGTGGATGGGTTTAACAAAGAGAAATTTATTTCTTCACAATAAAGTAGGCTTATAGTCCAAACTCAGGGTATCAGCTCCAGGGGAAGGCTTTCTCTGTCGGCCTTCTCTTCAGTCGTCTTCCCCCCGGACTAGGAGATTCTTTGAGCAGGGACCCTGGGTCCAGAGGGCACGCTCTGCTCCCAGCACTGCTTTCTTGGTGGTATGAGGTCCCCTCTCTCTGCTTGCTTCCCTTACCTTTTATCTCTTGTAAGATAAAAGGTGGTGCAGGCCACACCCCAGGGAAACTCCCTTTAGATTGGATCAGGGATGTGACTTTAGTAAGGGTGTTACAATCCCTCTTTAACATAAAATTACAATCACAAAATGGAGGACAACCACACAATACTGGGAATCATGGCCCAGCCAAATTGATAACACACATTTTTGGAGGGACATAAATCAATCCATGACACCTGCCATATGGTAAACACTAAATTATTGCTCCTCCCCACTGTTCCTTAAAAGTGGCAACTCTTAAAATTCTTTCAGTACCATGCATGTAATTTGTCCCAGCAGGGGGTCTTCAGTTCATTTAAAGCAATTAGGTGCTGTTTTATAATCTCTTTGGTTTTGTTTGTTCTAATTAATTAAACATTTGAATGCTAATTAATTGCCAGGCATTATACTAGACACAGTATACAAAGATAACACATTATCTCTGCCATTGAGATAGTGTGTACATCATTATTGAACACCTACTGTGTGCCAGGCATTGGGCCAAACCTTAGGGATACAAAGATGAATAAGCCTTGACTCTACAGCCTAGTGGGAGGAGACAAGTACATGTAATTTGGGGGAAGGGGGGGAGCACCTAAAGTAGAGAAGTATTAAGCACAGAAAGGCAACAAAGGAAAAAGGGTCAGCAGGCAGGAAAGGAAGCATAAAGAAGGGGATACTTAATCTGTAGTTTGAAAGAGATTTTGCCAGGTGGGAGTATGGGATGCAGGGGCAGCCTGCTTCTTGGGGAAACTCCAAATAGGATATGACTAGAAAACAGCATGAGTCTTGCCAGGATTGAAACTGGAGAGGCAGGCAGAGGCAAGGACTGGTGGGTCCTTGCCACACTGTGCTAAGGATTTACCATATCCTGAGAGCAGTGGGAAGCAACGGAAGATTTGTGTTTTAGAACACTGGCAGCACCATAGCAAATGAAAAGGTTGGGGCAGGACTACTTGGAAACGCAGAGTAATATTTCAGACGGAATATGATGAAGGCTTGAAACAGGACAATGGAGGTAAAGACATGGATTTGAGAATGATGGATGGGCAGAATCTGCAGCACTCGGTTGTCCTTTGTGTAAGATGAAGGAAAGGAGCAGCTATGTCCAGAATGTTTCCTGGATATATGGCTTGGAGACAGATGTAATTAATTGAAGGTGATACCTGTTGTAACATACATGTGTGAATGTTACGGAGGGGTGATTATGATTCAGCCCAGGCTGGTGGAAGATAACCTGTGAGTCCAGAAATCATTCGATGATCATTGTCCTAGACTGAAAAGATAGAAAACAGGAGCTAAGGATCAAGAGATGCTCCTCTTTGCCATGTAGTAACATTACACCCATGGATCATCCCCAAGGGTTACGTTTACATTTCCTGCCTGAAGTTCCGGGAAGCCTGACTTCCTTTCCACCCAGCGGAGCGCTCCAAGGGCAGGAGCTGCTGGGCCACCAGAGGGCGCCACGCAGGCCCGGGGACGCAGGAGCCGCGTCATGGCCGCCGCATGCGTCCTGCTGCTTCTGTCCGGGCACCCAGAATCGGCGAGCTTCGCACGGAACGTGTGTGGCTTTCTGGGCGCTGGGCCAGGGCTCGGGCCATGGCCCACGCACTGCAGCTTGAAGCGAGGACAGCTCGTCCTCTCGGACAGGCCATCCCCAGGCGCCTCAGCCAGGCTTCCGCTTCCGGTCCGGAGAGGCGGGGACCAGCGGTGGGTTGTGAGGGCAAAAGGCAGGGACTGGGGATCGGGTAGGCGCTGAGGGCGAGAGTCCTAGAGGCCCGGCTAGCCCTCCACTCGGCCTCCTCCCCATTCCACGCAATATCGCCCAATTTTTGAAGTCCATGCCACCCCATCCAATGCCCCCACCGCTCCAGAAACCTCAGCCTGCTGGCTCCCTCCTGCCAGCGACCCCCTTTCTGCCCTTTCACGGCCCTGGATCAGCAGCCCAGGACCTCCGCGCCCGAGCTGCCCACAAACCGAGGTGTGGATTTGTGTGTGGCCGTCATTCTGCAGTCCAGCGACCAGACTGTCCTGCTAACACGAAGGACCCGTACCCTCAGCATTTCCCCCGATCTCTGGGTACCCCCAGGTGAGCTCCCTGAGGACAGGGTTCAAAGTCTAGGAAAGAAAGTTGCCCTCTCCCACCAATTATTCCCAGTCCCAGAAGGATATAAAAGTGGATCCAAAATGTTAGCCTGTCCACAATCACAAGAGGTTGCAGCTGCATCTGTGTCCACTGGAGAGCAGTGTAAACGCTAAGTGGGTGTCACTGGCCAAGCCCACCACCACTCACTATTGGCCTCACTGTTTTTGTAGGTGGACATGTGGAACTTGAGGAGGAGGTAACCAATCAGCTGATCCAACCTGCACCCTTACCCTGAGGCCTAAGTCTGGGACCACCTTGGTGTGTGCTGAGGGAGAAGCAACAAAAGGACTTGGAAGAGTCAATCCCTGGCTACTCTGACCTGCCCTCTCTACCAGCTGCTAGATGGAGGACTTCGCGAGCTTTGGGAGCAGAGTGGACTGCAGCTGCCCCAGGGCCAGTTCTCTCGGGTCCTTCTGGGGCTATGGGAGGTAAGACAGGGACCCTGGAGACCCTATTCAACCAACTTCTATTTAACTCTCAACAACTACCATCAGTCTATAAACAGCCACTACCTGCTTTGGCCACTGGGTGGCGGTGTGTAGAGCGTGAGTGAGATGGTATTACTTCAGACCTAACAGCCTTCACCCAGGTCCCTCAAGCAGCATCTCTGCCTGCCAGTTCCTTAGCTCTGGGGCAGCATTTTGTTTCACCCTAAAGCTATATTTTGTAGTTTCAGAAAGAGTAAATTCTTCTTCCGCTGTTTTCTTCTTAGTCTGCCTACCCTCCGAGGCTGAGCTGGGGTTTCCCCAAATACCATCACATCGTTCTCTACTTGTCATCTCCCAGGAGTCACAGCAACAGCTGCAGGTAGGGCTGGCAGTGAAGGAAGGAAGTGGGGCTCAGGGGAGACCAGGCAATCTGGTTCTGCCTGTGATTAAGGTGGGGGAGAGGACCTAGAGGAGGGTAAAGATAACTAACACACAACAGCCTCTCCCCAGCCCTGCCCCATGGCTCTCTCCATTCCATCTGTGGGTCTGCTGTAGAACAGGCCTCCCGGGGAGAGGTCTGACTAAGAGATCAACATGTCTGGCCCTAGGCACAGATCCAACCAAACCCAAGTGAGGTGAGCGCCTTGCCTTTATGTGGCTGGGACCGGATGTCGCAGCTGCAGTGGCTGCCACAGAGGATGGGGCAAAGACAGCCAGAACTCTCCCCCAGGACCTACCACCCTGTCCTGTAAGAGCTTCTCCCCAATGCCCCAACACACCCACACACCACAAAATTCCATTTCTATCCCTTCCTCAGGATGGAACTGTGTGTTGTGGGGGAGATTTAGGGAGTGAGTTGGTCAGTTGATAATGAAGAGAGCACATGATATCAAAGAGACCATACAACTCGGGCTCTTGCTCCGACTAGCTAGCACTGAAGACTGAGGTTAGAGTCCCAGCTCTCCCACAGGGGCAAGTCATTTATCTTTATTGAACCTGTTTCATTTCTGTGAAATGAGGTTAACCCCCACCTACCCCTCCTGCGGCAGTTGGGAGGATTAGGTGACCTAATGGAGATAGAAGTGCTTTGTAAACCCCAAGGCACAGCCCGCCCAGATGGGAGTTGTCATTACACAGTGCAGTGGAAGTGCAGGAAGATGGAGAAGCCCAACCTCTGGCCCTGCCCTTGTCCACACTGCTGCAGACAACCCCAACCACAGCAGAGGCCAAAGAGAGAGTCAGCACGGGGACCAAGTTTGCCCTCAGGCTCTGGCTACAACACCTGGGCTGGTAAGCGTGAAGAAGTACTTAAGGGCTTCACATCACTGGGCAGGATGGTCTAGATGTGTTTTTACTGGCATGGGGGAGAGAGAAAAAAGAACAACTACTCTTGGAAATCCTCAGTGTGACACCCCCACCATGTGAAAGTGGAGCTCACCTGGACCCAGGGCCAGCAAAGGAAGCACTGAACATGGACCCCCTTCCCTCAAGCCAGAAGTCTGGAAAACAAAGTCCATAGCCCCTCCCTAACTCATCTCCGTGACACAGAACATTCACAACTTTTATTATGGGTGAGAACTTTGCCACAACTTTGGGAATAAAAAGTAAAATTATAATGTAAGTCCTAGGCCCTGAAGGAGCCTGAAAAAGAGACTGAGAAGGATGGCACAAGGGTCCTCCTACCTCCCAGGAAAGGTGCAGAATGAACCAACCACACGCCTCTGGAAGCTTAGGCCCAGGGTTGGTCAGCATAAGAAACATGTGAATTAAATATATAGAAAAAGACCTGGGCAATAGGCCAGGCCCTGCTCCCAAACCTTGGGGATCAGGGCTAAGACCTTATCTTCTCCTCAGTCATACTGGGAAGTGGGAGGCAAGGAAAGTCATCTTTGGAGTATTTTGGTTTTTCTTATTTATGTACAAAAAAAAAAAAATTGCAACCCAAAATAGAGTTCTCTGTCCATGTGTCTGTCTCAGTTTCTCCACTTGTTTGGCCAAAGGGAACAGAATGGACATGAAGAGACAATGGATGCGGGGAAAAAACAGAGCTATGGGTTTGGGGATGGGAGGACAGGGCATCTGGACAAGAGAGGGGCCCACTCCTCTCAAGGCTTTCGACATAGGTAAGGCTGATTCAGCCCTTACCCTAACTCAAATCCCATCCCTTGCCTGCCACTGCCTAGGTTAACATACCCAAAGGAATGTGCAGCTGTCCAAAGAACAGTTCCAAAAATAGACCCCATATGTCCTTAAAATGAGGTTAAATATTAACCCTTTGAGTGCTGGCCTTATCAGGCAGAGATGGCCAAAAGTCAGGTGTCCATGAAGGTCTGTCGGGCCTTTGGCCAAAGCCCCTGAGTCCGAGTGGCCAGGGGTCTGGACTCCACTTCATACTTGTTCAGGGTTTGGGGGGCAGTGAAGGTTCCACAATCCAGGGGACTCAGTCCAGGGAGATGATGTCTGAGCGACAGCCAGTCAAGGAGGGCCCTGAGGGTTGGGGTCCTCCATGCCCCTCCCTCAGTGTCCCCCCAGGAGCCACAATACTGCTGACACGGCCTGGAGGGGGTGCTGGAGGGGAGCTGCGATGGGAGCTCCCCAACGGGGCCAGCGGGCCCAGGAAGTGGGAAGGGGTCCCCCGGTACTGGAAGAAGTGGCCAAGGGCATCCTGTTCGTCTAGCGAGGTGATGACGGAGGGGCCATAGTGCTGGGAGGAATCAAGGGCATAGTTTAAGATTTTATCCTGACTTCAGCCACCTCCAAATCACCCATCTCAGAAATATATGGGGTACATCAACCCCTGTGGATCACAAAATATTCTCTCCAAAGTCGGAGACTCTCCGGCTCTTTCCCCTACCTCCCCACAACCAATCCCTTGTTTTCCCTGCTCCGAGACAGCTCCTCCAGCTTTGAAAGGTGTGCACATGAGTGTGTGTGCGACTGAGCAGGCCAGGCCAGAACAGTAATGGGATCTAGGAAGACACGGGTAGGAATCCGAGAAAGTGGAGCCTAGGAGGAAAATAAGCTGCCTGCCTCTTCCCATCCACTCACAGAAAAGCTGATTCAGGTCCTTGGGAAGGGGTGGGAATGAGAGGGGAAGGGGGCCCATCAGTTCCTAGAAAGGAAGCTTCAGAGATCTGAGATCTTAGCAGGAGGAGAGGGGACTACTTACCTGACTCTCAGTCTGAAGGAAAGAAAATAAATCTAAACCTGGCAGGAAAAGAAAAGCAAAATTAGTCTCCTGTCTGACCCCTCCGCTGCCAAAAAGACAAAGAAGTTCCTTAAATTGTGGGCCCTCTGCAGAGAACCAGGAGGCTCTGAAAAGAAGCAGGGGTTCTGATCGGTTCTGGGGAGGGTGTGGCAGTGCAGGGCCCCACCTTGTGACTGGTGTCATACCTTGCATATCAGCCCCCAGTGGGAAGGCAGGTGGGTAGTCATGTAGTGGGAGACTGGACAGGAAGTCCCCGCCCAACGTGCCCATAGCAGGGCTCCGTAGCACTGAGGATGGCTGATGACTAGAGGTCAGGACTCTGTGAGTGGAGAGAAGGAGCTGCGGCAGCTGGCGAGCCAGATGCCCTCACCCCGTTCAGCCTCCCAAGTCCTCTCCCTGTCCCTGCCACCCCTTCCGTTGCCCCAGGGTTTGCCCAGTGATCCGAAAGCACCCTTGACTTCTTCCCTGTCCCTTCTGCTGCAGATGCAGCCTATTTCCTTATACCCTTTGCTTCCAGGCAGGGCTGGGCTGGCAGCTGAGGTGACAGGACAGTGCTTCTTGGTCGGGGGCAGGTCCTCCTCATCTGAAGAGCTTTCTATTGTCAGATCAATAACTTCAACCTTCTTCTTATTCTCTGATGGATTTCCCTCTTGGACTGGACTGTACTGGAGGCCTGCGGGTGGTAAGAAGACTGGGTCTCAGAGAAGAGACCATCTACGATTTAGCTCAGCTGGAGGACAGGGGGTCACTCACCATCCAGCCCATACCCTGGTGGGGGGCAAACCTCAGATGCCTCCTTCTTAGGTTTCATTGGGCACCAGGATCCATCTTCCATGAACTGGATCTCATCACAGTCCGAGCAGGAATTAAGAATCTCCATGAATAAACTAGGGGAGAGGAGGGATAGAAATTCATGGAGCTGGGAGATGGCTGGAACAGTAGCCAGAGAGTTCTGCCACTCACTTTCCTATACCTCAGTTTCCTCATCTGTAAAATAGGGATATTATCCACCTTACCAACCTCTCCGAGTTGTCAGAATCAAATAAAGACATATAAAAGAGCTTTGCAAACCCTAAATGCCAGGTTTAAAAATAAGTGCATTCTGAGCACCTGTTACATGTGGTGCTAGGAACAAGACGGAAGGGGCAGACACACAGAACTCCATAAACCATCTCAAAAAGGGCAGTGAGGACAAGAACCATAATGTGGACTCTGGAAGGGGGTTAGGACTAGCTAGATCTGCACACGCAGGCCCTCAAAAGTACCTTATTGCTATGCTCGATGAGAGGCCAGGTAGTTGTTACAGACAATATAGTATAACGGTTCAAAACGTTGGCTCTGCCACTTATATACAATATAGCTTTGAGCAAGACAATCTCTCTAGGTCTCAGTTTCCTCATCTGTATAATAAAACCTATCTCATAGAGTTATTGTAAGGATCAAATGAAATAAGGTATGTGAGGTGCTTAACACTATGCCTAATATATAGTAAGTCCTCAATGTTGGGTTAGATATAGATAGATACAGACTAGTAAAGGGGATGGAAAGGGTGAGGTGATAGGATATAAACAGATGAGGTTCATGTGAGAGGAAGTCCTAGTAGCTGTTCTAGATAAAAGGAAGCAGAATGGCCCTACCCATCAATGATCAGAGATTCATAGGGAGCCTTCTTGTCACACACAGGACATGTCCACGTTGGTTTCTTCTCATTCATCTGTAGATAAAGGGCAGCATCGAAGCTCTGCAGGTGGGTGCAGGTAAGAGCACGGCAGGGGACTGTCAGCCGCATCTTCCCTAGCTGAGGAAAGGTGAGTTTTATGGTCAGAGTCTCCACATCCCAGAAAACCTCACTCCAGTATCCCTGGGAACCCTCATCAGAGTCCAGAGGTTTAACCCAATCCTTCTCCCCTTGGACTCACCGGGCACATGAGTGACACTCGCAGACTCGTAGTAGCAACCTCGCTGTCTGGGTCAGCAGTCAATTTCTCCTTGACTGAAACAAAGTGAGGCCAGAGCGAGGGGGTCAGCAAGACTAAAGAGGAAGCCCAGCAACTGGTGAGGCCAGAATCAGATGGCTCTGGCTGAGAGGCCTTTGGGACCAATGGGATGTCACATGGAGGGGAGGGGGAGTCTGGAATCTGGATTATGAAGATTGAGTGAAGGAAGAAAATCTCCCCTTCCCTGAAGATGTTTAAACATAGCCGAGGGACACTTTGGCAGAGATGATCTAAAGGGAATTGAAGCATCACATGACAGTTAAATTAGATGATCCTTAAGGCCCTTTCCAATTCTGAGAGCCCATATTCCAGCTGGGGTCTGTAACGTACAAAGTAGTTGTATGATTAGGAGTGCAAACGTGTTACTCAGTACCTGGCAGTGGTCTGACTTCTCGACCATGAAGACTGATAAGAGGGATGGGATCAGCGTTGGGGCTCATGTGAGAAGGAAAATAAGTTGTCATAAGAGGGCTATAGATTTGCTTGTGAAAGCTGGAGGGCCAGAAAGACTGGGACCCAGATCAAAGGGCAGAAGAGAGGGAGGATGTTACTTACTCAGTGCCCGGGAGTGGTCTGGGTTCCGGATGCCCTTTGCTCTGAGCTTTTGTAGAAGGGTCCCTGCAGTCAACTGCCTCACCAGGTATACAGACAAGGAGTAATTCTACTTGGAGGTGGGGGGTAAGAGGGTGATGACAATCAGCCTGAGCTTTTTACACCACCACCCCCTTGCCCCATGAAGGCTAGAGACAGTGGGTTAAGACAGAGAGTCCCAGAAAGAGGAAGATGTTTCCCCAAACCAGGACACTGGATGATTCCCCCCACACCCTATTCCCTGTTCCACAACACCCCCAGGCTTCTCCAGGCTCCCTGCCTTAGCCATGCTCACCCGTCCAAACTCAGATGACCAGTTGACCACGATGGTATTGGGAACAGTGGCTGAGAGTCGAGCCAGCGGTGTGATGTTGATGGGGCGGCTGGGCCTCTTGGGCTCAGCCCCATTCTTGGTGGGGGGAAGGTAACCCTGGGAAAGGGAGGGGCTGGTCAGAGAAAAGTTTCTCTGGGAAGGGGCTCTGCTCTAACAAGACATCTTGTCTTGGGTTACTCACTCCCTGAAGGGAAGCCCGGCTCACTCATGACCAAGGCTGTAGGGGCCCATTCGGTGACTCACAAAACTGGGGCACTGTCTAAGGTTGTATGTTGGGTTCCCTCCTGGGGTGAAAGGAGGGCTTATTCATTGACCAACGAAATGGGAACCTACTCACTGTGTCCCTAAGGTGGAGCTAAGGTGCACGAATAGGAACGCCTTACTTTCTCCAACTCTCAGTTCTGGGGTCATCACTTCTAAGAAGTCTTCTAAGAATTTCCTTCCTCTGGGTTCTGACAGAATCCTTGTTGAGCCCTACCTTAACATTCTGCCAATTATACTGATTCATTCAGTAAACTGAGCACCTATTATGTGCCAGGCACTATGCTACACGTGTCTCTTTATGAGTCTGTCTTTCACACAGACTCCATGAGAGCAGAAACCATGATCCATTCATTTCGTAATCCCAGCACCTAGGCTCTGGCACATAATAAGTGTAATTAATTAACATTTGTTGAACTGAAGAGAGGAAGGGGCTACTGCCAGAAGAAGGGATGAGCATTTACCGGCAGGGGACACAGTTTCCCATTGACCTTGACAAAGAGGTTGGGGGGGAAATAATCCTCCTGGGGGCAGCTGGTCTCACAGAGACAGAACCTGGTGAGAGATGGAAGAGGATGAAAGGGTGGTAGGCAGTTTCTGGAGCTGAATCTGGCAGAGAAGCAGGGAACCCCAGAAAATCAGTCATGGATGTCTGTAGCCCTTCACATCCAACAAGAGTCCCAAGGCTGGAGTGGGCAGTGACAGAGCAGGGATATCTCCTAGGAGTATTTGTCATACCCCTACTTCACTCCCACCCCTAATGGGGGCCCAGCAGGACAGAAAGGGAGAACCAACTCACCTTAGCTGCACCTGTATGGTATAATCACATTTGGCTCCTGGCAGAAGCTCCCTGTAACAGAGAGGGAAGAGATATCAGCATGCGGCCCCCAGAGGGCAGGGAAGAGTGGATGGAGAGACAAAGTTAGAAGTTCAAAAACTAGAGAAGAGATACTACAAGGGAATGAGAGACAAAGCGGGTGCAGGAGAATAGATAGGGAGGAGAACGGGAGAATAGAAGACAGCAGAGGAGAGGGGTAACTGCCCAGAAATGAGGCAGGAAAACTGAAGGAGAAGTACCTGGATGTGAGGATCTGCTGCACTTGCTGGGGTGTAAGGGCAAAGGTGAAGTGCGCTTCCTCAAATCGCTGGCTAGAAGTGGATGCTGAGGACACAAAGGAGCAGTTATTCCCAAGCCCATGCACAAGTAGCCACAGAAGCTCTCCCCATCCCAGGTTGCTGATCCCATAAGGCTAAAGCCTAAGAAAGGCTTGGGAAAGAGGCATGGAGTCCAGGAAGGCTGAAGGACCACAAAGAGCCATACCAAGGGTGGTGGGCCGGATGAGCTCCCCGTAGACTTCATAGAAAGGCAATGGTTTCATGGTGACATCAGGGTGCACAGGCTGGGGCAGAGAAGGGTGCATGTCTACTTCACGTTTGGGCACCAGCATGGTGCCAGGGGCCAAGAGGGCTGGGGGAATGGGAGCTAGCGGACCAGGGGAGCCTACAGGAGGGGTACCAGGGGGCAGAGAGATCAAGGAGAGATCAGAGGGCCCCAGGGTCTTCCGGGGAAAGCGTCGGCGGTAAAGCTCTTTGATCTTCATCTGGACACTGGGAGCACAGCTGGATTTGAGAAGGTGCAGGGCCTTGGCCAGGAGCTCGTGCTTCCTTCCACTCTTGTTCCGGCCAGCAAAGCCAAGGAGCACCTGGAGCTCAGATACTCGGAAACTCATCACCATGTGCTGTGGAGAAGAACAGAAGCTTGAGAATCCTGCCAAGGACACTGGGGCTGAGCTGTCCAGTGGGCAGTGCCTCTTTCCCTCCAGCACTGATCAGAAAGATGCTTTGCAGCTATCAGATTACTGTCAGGCAGCCAACTTGGCCAGAGGGACATCTCAGTCCCATTTTAACAACCCTCAGGTCAATCTAACCGCTACCCCCCAGCTTGAGCAGCCCTATCTCCCCATGCCTAGAAGTTGACCACGGTGGCGCAGGGGAAGGCAGACAGCAAGCCATCCCCAGAGATACCCTCTGAGTCCACTACAGCCTCCTACCTCCATCCCTGCCTTTAGCCTGGACTATCCTTTAAGCTGCTTATCTCCTCTCCTGCTCTTTCTCAGACCCATCCCAGCCTCCTGGGAAGAGGATAAGAGACAGGGAGAAGGAGGGAGAGAAGAAAGGATTCAGGCTAGATAGCCTATGGGGAATGAAGGAGACAAGTGACTACAGGATTGTCCACCACAGTCCACCCCTCCCAACTACTTCATTCCACCTCAGCTACTTGCCCCAAGCCTCTGCAGTCTTCGTGGGCAGGGTTTCCAGTCAGGGTTCAATACTCCTAACACTACAAATCCTTTCTCTGTGTCGTCTGTGTAACCATTCCCCAACCCCTTTGTCCTAGTTTTCTAGGCAGAAAAGAAGACCAAAACTGGAGGAAAAGGGAAAACAGTAAACCACTAACTCCAGGTATCCTGTCTGTTTACTCCATCTACTTTTCTCCTACAAAAAGAAAGTAAGGAATTCCCGCTTAATCCCTCCCACAGGGGTGAAAGAGGACGCAGCAAAGCTCTAAACAGAAGTCCTGGGAGAATGAAGAGAAGGTGTACAAATCCTGATCCAGAGTACAGAATTGCAAGCTCCTGGGGTGGTACAAATAGTAAACACGCTAGGCTGCTAAAAGGTTGGAGGTTCAAGTCCACATAGCGGCACCTCAGAAGAAAGGCCTGATAGTCTACTTCTGAAAAATCAGCCATTGAAAACCCTGTGGAGCACAGTCCTACTCTGACACTCATGGGATTGCCATGAGTCGGAATCAACTCAGTAACTGGTTTTACAATGGCAGCTGGGCCCACTGGCCCAATGGCTAGACCCCGGCCTGCCCAGGGCTGTGGCTCCATTACAAAGGGGCAGAATAAAGCCTGGAGGCAGACGGATGAACCCATTAGTTTTAAAGTTCTGTGAACTACCCTTTGATGCGGTTACCCTCAGACTCTGTGGTTCTGAGACGCCACAAAGAGCTCCCTCCTTCAAGGACTCCTTTCCATGAATCTCTAGAAGACAGCCACAGGCCAGCCTTGCTAGCCCTCCAAAATTCTTCCCTTCACAGGAGGGGTGGCCTTATATTGCTTGGTCCATTTTGAGGAATGTGGTGAACAACTTGCTACTCTCCTTTCCTCCTCCTCATCCTCATCTCTTCTGTCCTGTCTTTATCTTTCCAATAGTTGTGCCTATTAGCTGCTCCTCCTTTCTATCCCATAGTTTCACACTCCTCTGCCACGGCCCAAAGACACCCACTCACTAGGGCAGGACCGTCTTCTCAGCCTCCAGGAGGCTTTTGCCCCACCCCTTAATGTACCTGCACGCACAGCCCCGCCCCCTATATCTCAGCCGCCTGCTGGGTATTTCCCAAGGCTGGAATCCCAATAGCAGCCCCAAAGCCTCTATAGTCTCTACTGCATTTACCCGAAGACCCTCTCCTACTTCTGCCCCCAATCCCATCCCTACCTCCGCTCCCTGCTGTCACATCTCCTGGCTTTGATCGACTGGCCTGTGACTCTACAACAGCTTTTCCCTCTGACCCTACCCCTACATCTGCCCCTACTACCAAATCCGACTTCTACCCGCGTCCCCGCCCCCTGCGCCTCGGCCCGCAACAGCGGCAATTCCCCTCAGCCCCGCCCCCGAACCCCGTCGCAGCCCCCCTCTCCCATCCCCAGCAGCCCTACAGCCATACCCCGCCAAGTCGCCAGCCGCTACCCGAGCCCTCAGCACCCAGTCTCGCTCGCTTCCCCGACTCGGCGTACCGCCGGGATAGGTCCAGACCGGGATGGGGGAGGGGGCTGGTACCTTTAATTCTCCCAGCTCCGCCATCTTGAGACATCGCAGGCGCCGGAGCCCGAGCCCAAGCCCGAGCTCAGGCCCAGGGACCGGCGCACAACTCCCCACCGCGGCGCCGGCCGCAAATGCCGCCTGCTCCGCCCCGTCTGGCCCCCTACACCTCCCCTTTCCGGCCCCGCCCGCCTGGCTCCGGCCAGGGCCCAGGCTCAGCCCCTCCCTCCGCTGCCGGACCCAGCCTCTGCTCGTCCTTGGCGGATCTACAAGACTGCTAGACCCGGAGGGAGTGTACAGCCCAAAATCGCGGGATCCTGGAGGGTAACGGAGTGAAGGCAGAACCGAAGTGCCTAGGGAAGGGGAGCTTTGCCACGCCAGAGTTGGGAGGGGATGAGCTTTTAGGGAGTCAAAGATCCTTGAAATATGGAGGGAAAGTATCGGAAACTGCTCATTTTCAGGGGAAGGGGGGGAGTAGCAAAGTTGGAGCGAATCCCTCATCTCCATCTCTGCAAGTTTCACGAGGTAAAATCAAAGAGTTTTACCAACTTGGGAAATGGGTGAGCTCTGATCCATTTTAGGGAAGCTATGGAATCGTGAAGAAGCTATGGTGGCGCGGTGGTTAACGCACTCGGCTGCTAACCCCAAAGTCGATGGTTCTAACCACGAGCCGCTCCTCGGGAAGAACGATGTGGCAGTCGTCTTCCGTAAAGATTATAGCCTTGGAAACCCTATGGGGCAGCTCTACTCTGTCGTACAGGGTCGCTATGAGTAGGAATCAACTCGATGGCTGTGGGTTTGGGTTTATGGAGTCGTGAACAGTTCAGTTCCTGACGGGTGTTCTCAATCCTCTCCCCCCTCCTCCCCACACACACCAACTACAATGTAGCTCGTGGTTCGGCCGAAGGACTTAAACTCTGCAGCAAAAAAGTTTGGTGCTGAGAGCATGACTTACCAGCAGTCTCAGGGAACCGGGAGGGGGCTTGGAAGGCTCCGAGGTGGGCTAGGGAGTTGGGGGAAGGGGACTCGACGTCCCTCCCGCACTCCGCACTGCTGGAGCTCGGACCGGCAGCTAGGCGCTGCAGCCGCAGCTCCGCCCGGGCCCGAGCTCCGCCCACCCCAGAGCTTGGGCTGGGGCCGCCGCCTCCGGGGTAAGCCGGCCAGGACAGCAATGCAAGGGGGAGGGGGCGGGGCTCGGCGCCCGGCGTTTCTGAGATTAACTCTTCGTGTGAATTGGTCAGGAGAGACAGGTTCTTGCATCCCATCTTTCACACCTCTCTGATCCCTCGCGCTGGTGTATTGGCTTGAAGAGGAGGCACCCTGCAAATAAGAGTATGGACCAGGGATCTGGCCGCATGAAGAGGCTCCGACCTTCTCCCTCCCTGGGGGAAAGCCTGGGTCTCTAGAATCCAAAGTGTGCCTGGCCATAACTACGTGTGGCTCCCCACCCTCTACCCCAAATACACGTACAGTCACAAGAGACCCTACACCGTGGTGTGGCTGAAGGTGAGCAAAGAGGAGGTTTTCTTGCCCACAACGGGGGTCTTTCTGCCCCTCTCTGAACTACCTATTCACCTTCTTCCAAGGCCTTGGACCCTCCAGAGGCCCCATTCTCAACGAAGCTAATTACTTATATGTAGGCCCCAGAGTAAATCTGTTTTATATCCATGAAAATAGCTTTAGGGCAGTGTACCCATACTAGGGAGCCCTGGTGGTACAGTGGTTAAGAGCTTCGCTGCTAACCAAAAAGGTCAGCAGTTCAAATCCACCAGCCAGTCCTTGGAAACCCTATGGGGAATTCTACTCTGTCCTATAGGGTCGCTAAGAGTCGGAATCAACTCCACTGCAATGGGTTTTAAGAACCCTAAGTAAGATCCCTGGGTGGTACAAACTCTATGGAGCAGTTCTGCTCTGTAACACATGGGGTCACTATAAATCAAATCCACTCCAGGGCAATTTTTTTTTTTTTTTAACTAAAAGACGTAAATATCCATTGTTCAATAAATATTTGAGTGATACTTAGGGATTGTTAGGTGCTGAGGACACAAAAATTTTGCAGGAGCCCACATTCTAGCAGCAGTGACATGTTAAACCAATAATCAGAATACCCAAAAAAAGTGTTTTAATAAATAATATGAACAATTCCTTCATTTAGCTTAAACCTTTAGTATAATCATAACCATGAGACCCCACCCAAGCCATAAGACTGAAGATGCCAGCCTACTAATATTCCCAAATACCTGTTGAACTGGACCATGTAGATTGTATCCCTAGGGAAGATGTCCACCCTCTCCTGACACATCAGGTTCTTTCCTTGATGCTTTGCGGTCTGCACTGTTGGACCCCTCAAATCAAACCCAGACTCAAGTATTTGGCTCTAAATCCCAATAGCCCCTTCCTACAGCTCAATCTTCATCGGGCTCTATGCCCCCCTTTTTTGTTGTTGTTGTTCTGTTCAGTCCTCTAGATCAAAAGTTACTATAGATTAGTTTTTATTATCCAAAAATTTCAGTATTTGTAGTGGGGAAGGGTTAGAAGGTGATTACAAAGAGACGGGGGAAATTTTAGGAGTGATGGATATGGTATCTTCATTATCTAGATTATGGTAATGGTTTCATGAGTTTAAATGTATGTCAAAATTTATCAAACTGTACACTTTAGATATGTGCAATTTATTGTATGTCAATTATCCCTCAGTAAAGCTGTACAAAATTACAAGAAAGAAAGTCAACCTCACCTTGGTTCCTAGTGATTTTGTGAAGGAGGGATCTCCTTTAAAAGTTAATTTGAGGTTATAAATTCTTGTATTCCTGCAGGATAACAGAAAACTGGGAACCAAGGCAGCTGAATCTGGTCCTGTATACAAGCTCCAAGAGGGCAGGCACTTTTTCTACACTGTTCGCATTGTATCCCCAGTGCCTGGCACATAGTAGACTTTTACAATATCTGATGACTATTTTAACAGAGAAGCGAGGGAAACTGAAAATCAGGGCCAAGTTCCCGACTGAAGGCAAAGATAGTATGAATCCCATCATGGCCCACCAAGCTTTACCTACTGCCCTGCTACTCTCATCCATACACTCTTACATGTGAAGCCTGGGGCTCAAGGGGGAGGTTTAGCAGGAGTAGTTAAGTCCCTCCCTACTAAAGTCCATTAAACAGACAGCCCAGGAGGAATAGGGAGAAACATTAGGGTTAGAATTACTTTGTGAAAGAAAGATTTATTTATAAAGTCAAGGAAAACTCCAGGGCTTGGGGTTGTTGGGGTCACAGTTTATGAGGTTGTAGAGAGGGAGATTGATGGGAAGAGCAGAGGCTGGAAAAGGTTCCACTCCTATGCTAACATTAGTATCAGCACTCCCACAAACCAGCCATCCTAGATCAGCTTCCAGGAGCTGACTTCCATTACGAAAGCTGTTTCCTGACTCATACTTAGCCAAATGATCTCCCCCTCTGGACCCTTCTCTCTGCAGTTTCTTCATTTTTCCCACCCGACACCCCATATGTAATGAGAAATGGAACAGTCCTTCTATATTCTTTGGTAACTGAGAGGAGGCAGAAAAGAAGTTCTGTTCTCCTTAATACAAGTCACTTGGACCTTTTTGATGCTTTTCATCTGGCAGCTGCTCTCCTTTTCCCCTTCTCCATTCAATTCCTCCTCTCTCCATTCTTAGCCTTCAAGCAGTGCTGCGCCCACCCATGCAGTAGCCAAACTGACCTGCACCTTGTCTAGGATATGATCTACATATCTCATTTGCTCTTTTCCTACCCAAACCCTGAAGCCAGCCGAGCCCCTGCAGCCCATGTGTGGCCCCTGTTTTCATGGCAGCCCCTCCCCCACTTTCTTCTCTCAACTCAGCCAGTCGGGCATCTCCCATATAGAATTTTTCAAAGCTGAAGGCTGAGTGTAAAATGATTCGCGAATAAATTGTTTCCCCGCTGCCTCACATAGTACCTGTCCCCTTTTTCCCCTGCTTTCCTGCCTGTGCCCGTTCCCACCTAACGCTGGTGCTTCTGGAAGGTTTCTAAAGGGTTGATTGGTAAAGAGAGGCAATTTAGTATCTTTTTTGCCAAACCGCTGCTGTCTGACCCAACATAACCCAGCAGAAGGCGGGCTGAGAGAAGGAATGGGGAGGGATCAGTGTGCCCGCGGCAAACTGCAATTACAGGTTTTGGAAGAACTCACTGCCTCACTTTCACCTAGCAGTGTGGCTGGTAGAGGAGCAGGAAGGGGAGGAGACCCAGGGGAAGTGCCCAAGAAAGATACATTTTTTTCAGTCTGAGAACACAACTGGAGGAAACTGACTCTGAGTTCCTCTTCATCCCTTTCCCAGGCATCGGACTTATCATCCTCCTTTGCACCTGGGGCACAGAACATTAACTACATAAAATAAACCCTCAGATCTAGATACATGGTCTGACACATGACCCAATATTTTAGATTGTACATCTTGAAGAAAATCCAGGTCTCTCAATTTCTCCTTATCCTTAAAAAAGCTCATGGACCCAGGAGTCCCAAGATAGAAAAAAAAGATTCGAGTTGTGTCTGTAAGAGAAAGATTTGCGAAAGAGTGTCAATTCACATTTTCACTGAGGTCTGTGTTTTTCAAACTGAGTCTTCTCTAGTGGATGGATTTTGAGCAACAATTTTTTTTTTTTTTTGTAGAATAGAAATAGGGTAATTATTCAGATATGTATACATAGGATGTAAAATGTATTTTTTACTATGGATCATAATCAGCGTTTGAAAACTGCTAACTTATGGGACCATTTGTGATTAAAAAAAAAAGAAGAAAAAGGTTCCTTCTCGCCCCTCCTCTCAAGATAAAACAAAACAAAACAATGACACCCAGGACCACCCTGCCTCCTGCTTTATGTTCCAAATATCTTCCATCTCCATCTCCTCTGGTCCCATCCATGCTGATTCCAGAGTCCAGGTTCTCAGGTCCCGGCTCCTTAATGTCAGGTGAAGCCTTGCCCACACCACAGCTAGTGGCAGTGTACCACCCACCACAGCCTGATAGAGCCTCTGGCAAACAGGGATGCTCTTGTTGCCTGAAAGAAGAAATTCAAGGATGAAATGGACATACCTTCATATCCTCTGTCTTCTCCCACCCATGCCAAGATGCTAAAGGGGACCTCATCTGTTTGGGCTGGAGAAGACAGCCATCTGCATAGCGGTGGAAAGAAGAATGGAGGATGACTGATCTTTGAATGAATGGTGCAGAAGTGGTATTCTGGAATTTGTAGAGTCCCACCCTAGAAACAAAACCAAACCCATTGCTGTCAAGTTGATTCTGACTCATAACGATCCTATAGGTCAGAGTAGAACTGCCCTATAGGGATTCCAAGGAGCAGTTGGTGGATTCCAACTATTGACCTTTTGGTTAGCAGCTGAGCTCTTAATCACTGAACCACGAGGGGCTCCGCAGTCCCACCCTGTTATCTCACGTCATTTATCTTTCACTGGCATCTCCCTACTCCAGGCCTTAGGAGAGTTACCCAACCCCTCTTTTTAGGTAAATGAGCCCTCTTCAGTCTACCTGCTCACTGATTCCTGACTCCACTCAGTCATTCCCCGTATTGTGTCTTCTCCATTGACTTCACCTCAAATGCTCTATGCCTCACAGTACTCCCCAGTATGTCAGCCACCCACAGGGGTAAAAGGAGACTCCAATTCCCTTCCTAAGCCTTCTTTCCCAAGTCTTTTCTCCCAAGCTCCTTCCCTCATCACCCTCAACTCACAACAGAGAACTCCCGTATCCCGCAGGGCCCAGGCTGCCTTACTCATCCTGCATGCTGAGAATTCGAAGTAGGATATTATACACATCCTGTTCCATGTAGCCCTGTGGGTGGCAGGAAAGAAATAAAAGAAGATGAAGAACAGAAAAAGGGGATTCAGGCAAGGGAGAGGTTCTGTGGTATAAACTCGCTGTCGTCAAGTCAATTCTGACTCATACTGACCCTATAGGACAGGGTAGAACTGTCCCATAGGGTTTCCAAGGTTGTGATCTTTACGGAAGCAGACTGCCACATCTTTCTCCCACAGAGAGGCTGGTGGGTTTGAACTGCCAACCTTTTGATTAGCAGCCAAGCACCTTAACCACTGCATCATCAAGACTCCTTTGTGGTATAAGGAAATGCTATTTACTATGTGCCCTCAGTTACAGTATTTAACTTTTCCATGGCTGTTTCCTTATCTTTACAAGGAACAGAATGATGTCTTTTTTTTTTTTCAGATTTCCTCTGAGGGTTACAACTATAATATGAAGCCTGGTACACAACAGGTGTTTGATTCTTTGTAATTATTATTATTGCTAATAAAGGATCAGGTCATCACCTCTCCTTCCTTGGTGAGGGATAAGTTAGCTCAGGAAAAAAATGAGGAAGGGTTAAGGAGAAAGTAAAAGGCCTCACAATGGATCAGGAAATTGAAAACGAGGGGCAAACACCTCTCCCACGACACATTCACGCACAACCTCTCTTGAGATCCAGATACCTGGCACTGGGCATCTGAAGTCCAACTCTCTAAGAAATGACAAGTATGTCCAGATCAGAGAGGGGATCCCAAATGTAATAGCCCCAGGCCAGCGCTCTGTCTCTGCCTCCCTCAAAGCTCCACCATGCTCACCCGAGCAGCATTCAGCAGATAATTCCTGTAGGTGGAAATGATCTCTTCGTGGTTCTTCTGGGAATCCTAGAAGTAAGCATAAATGGGAGGTCATGTGCTTACCTTCCCCACACTCACCCAAATCCCACAAGCATGAGGAACACTAAGGTAAGGAACAATAAGATGAGCCCAGGTGGGCTCCCTTGGTCCATCACTGGAGCAGCCTGGCCCACTGCCTGGCTAGCCCTCTAATTTGCAGAAACTCTCCCCCACATACACATCATCACCACTGTCCACCTTTTTCTCTAGCAGCATCCATTTCCCTGAGGGCCAAAACATACCTGCAGCTGTAGGGCAAGGTGAGCATTTTCTCCCCTAACTGCTAGGACCTCCTCTGAAAGCTGCTCCAGCTTCTTCAACAATTCCTTGATCTGAGGCCAAAAGGAAAGAAGAGCAACAACAAGACCCAAGTAATCTCCCATTCCCAAATGCCATCTATACCCAGGGTCACAGTCAGCTTCCTTTGATACTTGTATATGCATTATTATTTTATTACTCAAAACAACTCTCTGAGGCAAGTATCATTATACACATTTTGTAGATAAGGAGCCTGAGTTAAGTAATATGTCAAAATCATACATCTAATAAGTGATGAAATCATGATTTGAACCAAGATCTCTTTGACTTCAGGGTCTACGTTCTTAACTTTGGACTGGATCCTGACCTACTGAGGGAAATGGAGATGAGCCCATGTGGTTTGTGAGACTGAGGCACAAATGCAGTTAATGGTGACCAGCAGCAATAGCAATAGTGGTAGCAGAAATGATAACAATAGCCAACTTTTTATTAAGTACCTACCATGTGCCAAACACATTTCTGAGTATTTTAAATGTAATATCTTAATTTAATCCTCACACCAAAAACCAAATCTGTTGCCATCGAGTCGATTCCGACACATAGCGACCCTACAGGACAGAGCAGAACTGCCCTATAGGGTTTCCCAGGCTGTAATGTTTATGGAAGCAGACTGCCACATCTTTCTCTCAAGGAGCAGCTGATGGGTTCCAACCCTCCAACTTTTCAGTTAGCCGCCAAGTGATTAACCACTGTGTGACCAGGCCTCCTAATCCTCACAACAACCCTGTGGTTATCCTCATTTTAAAGATGAGAAAACTGAGACTTGGAGGTGTTAAGTAACCTGCACAAGAATAAACAATCAGTAACTCATTTTGAAACTGGAAATCAACTTCAGACAATCTCAGTCCAGAGACCACATCCTTTTTTTTTTTAATTGTAGTTTAGGTAAAGGTTGACAGAACAAATATTTTCTCATTAAACAGTCAGTACACATATTGCTTTATGACATTGGTTAACAACCCCACGACATGTCAACACGCTCCCTTCTCGGCCTTGG